AGAAGGCCACATTATAGCACAAATTATTTTGGCAAAGGACAGACCACTGCCACGCCTCCAGTAACGTGGCCCATGAAGATTATTGTTCCAAAATTCATTAGATTAACCATGAGTTGCTTATTTCATCACTACTTTTCTTTTGCCTTTTTTTTCAAACGAACAAATGGAATTTAAAGCTGAACTCCAGACAGATATGCCTTTTGATCACTTCAGGACTACTGCAGCTGTGATCTCGGTAGGTGGGATTTAAAGTATAAGTGATCTGAGTGGCTGTAGAGCTGCCTGATTACTTGTACTGGCCTCTCCCATTGCATTGGTGGCCCAGGATCACGGCAGAAAGTGTCAGGATGGTGACTGGGAGAAGACCGGGGAACATGCATTCCATGATCTGATCACAAAACCAGGATGAAGTGTGCTGTCAGCACTTCATAGGTGTCAAAACTACGTCTGAAATGCCAGTTAAATAGGCGCTCAAGCACAATCCTGTGCTTGATCGTCTACAGGGGAGTCTGACAGACCCCTGATGTCTCCATAAAGAGACTCTGTCACCTGCAATGCTATCACATAGTGGCTACAATGTTAGCCCTCTTGTGAAAGCAATACATTTAAGTAACAAAAAACGGAATACTATAAAAAAAATAAAAGTAACATACACCTGCATGTAGGCCATGCACGTGTATGTAAGCAGCGATTGCGCCACATTTTAGATATTGCTGCGTCAGGGTCGGAACAATTCTAGAGAAAAAAAATTAGCTGTCAACGCTAAATTAATGAGCAGTAAAGGCTTTTAAAGCATCACTTATGGTATAGTGCTGTGTAAACTGTTGGCGCTATATAGATTCTGTATAATTATTTGTAGGGATGTCCCGACTGCCCCAATTACAAGTACTTCCCCTCATGTACTTGCCGATACCAATTACCGATACTTTTTCTTAAAGGGACAGGTGACTTTAAATGATCCATAGTACAACTACATGTTATGTACTATGGATCATGGTTTAACCTATTCATGTTAGCAGTGGAGAATTGTAACTCTATTGCTGGAGTGTGGTGGAGGTGTGTGCTGTATATATGCACTACATATACATTACACACGTCCAGTACACTATAGCAATAGATTTACAGCCAGCCCCATCCCAGCTTCCCTTACTCACAGTTTCACTCCGATCCCCGTAGCCTCACGCGATGCCTCTTGTAGTCGGCGCTGGGCAGGATCGCTGCATCGCATCTCGGTGCTCAGCTTGTGGGAGGCGCTCACAATTCTGCCCTGCTAACATGAATAGGTTAAATCATGATCCATAATACATATACAGCACATACGTACACTGCAGTAATAGAGTTACAATTATCCTCTGCTAACATGAATAGGTTAAATCATGATCTATAGTACATAACATGTAGTTGCACTAAGGATCATTTAACCCATTCATGTTAGCAGGGGATTATTGTAAATAATGCTGCAATGTACGGGACATTTGTGCTGTATATGTACAGTACATATAGATATACAATTCT